CCGGCGCCGCCCTCCCGCCCGCTACTCTCGCTGCCACCCCTTCCGTCCCCACTTCTTCGCTGCCTCCGCTTCGGCTGGGCTCCCCAGGCGCCAGTGCCTTCCCCTGGCCCGGGCGGGGCGCCTCCGCTGCCCGCAGAGCTCTCCGTGGAGTGTGGGGGGCGCGTTGCGTCCTAACGGAGAGCCAGCCCCCGCTCTGGGCGACAGGTGCCGAGGGAGCGTCCCCCGAGGACTAGGGGATGCGAAGGGTAAGACCTGACCGAGTGGCGTTTAAGGATACTTTTCTTCCCTTCCGCCTCCCGCCCTCTCGGGGACTGACCAGTGTGGCCCCCAAGTGTCCTTCCTTGAGTTGTTATTCCGTGGGAGCGAAACGTGCGTCGATGTTTATAACAGTATGGCCCCAGCCTGTTAACGGTCACTTCTGGAGATTTCGACCATTTACTATTTCTTGACTGTGTGTGCACCTGGCTCTCGGTGTGCACGGATGTTTGTTTGGAGAGAATGTGTAATGTATGTGTTGGGAAAAGAGGCGCTGGAGTTGATGCTTACTGCCTATCAACCTTACCAGCTTCCAAGTCTTAGCATAGAAACAACACGTTGTCTATGCACCAAACCGTGAAACTGGTAAAAGTAAAATACTACCTGTCATAGAAGAAAATGCATGCCAAATAATAAACTTCATATATGTGTGTGCATATGTAAATCAATATGCATATAACTTTTCTGTGAAGAATAACGGATGTGCATTTAACTAATGCCTAGATTTGAACGTTGATGGGACCATTCAACTCAAAACTAGCCATTAGAACTTAATAATTACATGAGTAAAGTTGATTTTTTAAAAGACATATCCTGTTGCTAAGGCTTTCAGGCATAAACGGATCACCTCCCGAATGCAAATGTGTTTGCTGCACTAGACGTGAGACTGTCCTTTGACCATTTGGAAGTTTAAAAGCAACATGCATGTTTGTAATCCTAAGAGATTGTTTATCTCTCAAAGCCTTTAAACTGACAGAGGAGGAAAGCAAAAATATTGAGTAATCTATTAATCGTTTTGCTGCCCGTCTTTTTCCTTCAAATCACTGGTATTCTTGCCTTTGTTGTTGCTTGCGTAGTAGATTAAGCCTCTTCAGCATTTAATCCAAGAAAAGATCAGAATGGGTTTTCTGGTTTTAAAGGTGTTGAAAGAGATCTTTATTGGTTTCATAACTTCTCATTTATATTGCAAGTGAATATCCTTTGAACAATGGAGGAAAGGCAATCTCCAGCAGAAACGCAGTGGACATCCAGTATCCGTGGTGTCACCACTGACATCAATCTCTTTTGCAGAATATTGAGATGCTCAGACCAACCAATCTTTCAGGTTCCCACAGGGCTTTATCTGATTTAAAAGTGTTGCTTTTCTAATCCCACCCTACTGACAGTTTGCAAGGGAAGATATACTGATTGATTTTTTCTCTCTTTCTCTCTCTCTTTTCTTGGTACTCTTCGCCCTCCCCCTCTCTAACTGAGCTAAGAGCAATTTGATCAAAATAAGAGGCATGTACCGTTTCTTAAGTGAGATAAGTGATTTTCTGACAATATACACACATGAAGAGAATCCACGCACCCCCAGAATGCTTAACACACTACAGGCAGTTATTTGGAAGCATTATAGCAATTAGCCCAGCTGGGCAAGAGGCTTTAATGTTGGATGTGGTTTTAAAAACTAATCCATTTTAGGTTATCAGGAGAACTTACTGTAAACGAACTCTTTGTTTCAAAGATGTCTCCCACTCCAGGGAGGAGAACTCTTAGATGAGATAGGTATCAGGTGTCGGTGGGGAGAGGGCTCATTGTATTCCTGTCTCTGTGGAGATGAAACAATGCCACAGGATGGACATGCCCAGTTTCAACCTCTCTAAAATAAAATTGCTATGTGTGCGTATGTGTGGTTAGGAGGATAAAGTAGATATATCCAAATCCTCACATTTGCATTGCATCAGCATGGTATACATGGGGCAAATACTATGGTAGACCCCATCAATAAGCCCTAGCTGATATTATTGAGGTTGGTGTATAAAGTCACAATTTCTGGGGAAAATGAGGTTAAACGTTGGACTTGTGCTTGGGTTTGTTTGCTATCCACGGTTTTCTGTCTTTTTCTGTTACCCTTTTCCCAAGGGACTGTGTTTCTCTCTGTCTCGCCTGTGAGATTGCTCTTCTCTAATAAGCCTAGCTGCAGGATCAGTGTGTTCTTTTTGGCATTTCAAAATGTTAAAATAGTGAAATTGTTAAATGTTACCCAGATGAAACTGCTGGAAATGATATTCTCCAAAAGGACCAGTGTCTTTGTGGCACATTGACGTCTATTCCAAGAGAGCCCCTTCAGTCGGTTTACCTATTTTCTCAAGAAAGAAGCAGCCCCACGGATTGTGTTGATAAGTATTTAGTATGCAGTGTCAGCTTATTAATTACTAAGGCGAAGCCTGGAAAACTCTCTCAAAACAATCGAATGACATTCTTCTTTGCTTTGACTCAGAATTAACATTAACCACCAGGCAATGTAGACAGGCTCCTTGCTTGCCTTGCCTATTGGTGCATGGAATTATCTTGGGGATACTTGGCTGGGTAAGAATAAACTATTATGAAATGGAACTTGTAATCGCAGTTTATAGTTTACCAGGCTTACCAAATGTTTCTTCGCGGTAGACAGTTGGCCTAATAGAGAAAGGGATTATTTCCCATAATTAGCTATCCAGGAATACTGCAAAAACAAAAACAAAAGCATAAAAGAGTAAGAAATAGAATTTGGAAATACCTAACAGCACATGATGAGTCGAATGAGATTTGGTTACTGCTTTTTGAATTTGGTTAGTGAGATGGAGCGTGTCCTTCAGGTTGCCGCCTGTTACTCTGGGGGTAATTATGTTAGCTCAGTTGCATAAAGCACACAGATGAGAGCTTTCATTCCCTGCTAGAAAGGATGCCATGTCTCCACCAGTGTAAGTCTGTTTCTTCTATTTTTGTATTCATCATTTTCTAATTGAACTGACAAATAGTTAGAGTGAAACCAGCCTTTGGGTTTAAATTATTTATAAGTCTGTTTTGACTCAGAAACAACCTGGGACCCAACATTGCTTGCAAAACTGTAGAGGCCCAGGTTTACAGACTGCACATCACGATTTCCAGAGATTTCAAACTCTGTGGATGTTTCTCTTAGTGCATGAAGATGGGTAAAGAAGTTAAAGAATAAGAGAAAATGAGTTAAGATAAACTAATATGTAGACTTTCTGTTAACAAAATTTTAACCACATTTTCCCCTCTGAATCCCCAGCTCTTTCCTAATTTGTGCCTATTCAATTTGTTTCTATAAAATCGTTAACCTTATATTATTATAACTGCATGGATGCTGTTTTGTGAGCAGTGGGGGATTCAACACTTTGCCACTGGATTGCTATTTAATGCCTTCATAACCATTTAATTTACTTATCTATAATATTCTTAGATTAGATACAATTAACTTTATAATTCAATTCAATTTAGATTTCTCCAAAACATTCTCTAGAACAAGAGAAACAAGGAATGTTATTCAGAATACATAAAATTATGTACTGCATAATTTTAGATGACTACATATACATGCTCATACATACATATACACATAAACTTCTTCATAGAAGTATATCATCACAAAAAATGTATAGCTATGTTGTCTTGATACATTTGAACCTGTAGTTCTGATTTTAAATAAATGCCACAAGTTTGGGGAAATATCAATGTTTAAATCAGCAGCTGTGATTCAAGGGAAAGGGAAGTACCAACCTTGGATCAAAATAAGGCTGCTCTTGGTTTCTGGGACTGGTGGAAATTCTTTCCAGTCTCATGAATTCTATGAATCTTATAAATATATCGATAGGTGTAAGCACATTCAATTATAGTTTTATGATCAATAGTGATGGGTTGAACAAAATTTTCACCATAGGGGCCATACCAATTGGAAGGAAATATCCAAGTTTTTAATGTCTCACAAAGTGCATGTTAACATAGTTATATTTTCTATTGATTACAATTTATAATGCTATCATCAGTAAGTTAAGACTATACGAAATTGGCCAAGAAAAAGGAAAACATTTTAGTGTTTCCTCATTGTCTTTCTTGCTAAGATTCATATGATTTGATGACCTATCTCAAACTCGCTCACCTAGATTACAAGTATGTTGGTAGCATATCAGTAGTAATAGGTCAGAGCCATTACATAAAGTAATCAGTGTGATTATGTCCATTTCATAGCATCAAATATTTACTAAGCGCTTTCCTGGGTCGTATTTCTTCACTAAAGAGGGTGCCTCATGGTGACATAAAGGCTACCTTACAATAGTTTTTCAGGAGAGTTGTGGGTCGAAAATATTCCTGGTGTCGTTTGCATGGCTGTTTTCCATATATTTGAAATATTTGCCACGCAGATTGTTAAGTACTCGGTTTAGAATTCTGTTTAGTTAAAAAAAAGTCATTTGGGTAGGTTGTGGCAAGCAAGTCTCTAATTATTCAAAAGGCAATAACTTACTGTTCAGAGAAATCTTGAGGTTCAAACTTGAGTTTGGATGGGTTTTTGAGGGAAGAATTGTTTAGTCGCCAAACCTGAGCCAGTGGACCCGACAGAGCCTGACATAGCAATTACTGGGGGAAATACCGATAGTCCTATTCAAGCCCCATCTGGAGAAATGTTCGCACCTGTGCTTTCAGGAAATGTTCAGAGTTCTCCCTATTTGTTTACTTCTTTTGTTTTGGAATATGTGAGCTGGAGATCTTTGTGTATCAGCTAACTCTCCTAAGTCCATCGCTCTCTACTGTCTGATATTCTGTGTTTTAGGTTAAGTTTTCAACAGATTTTGCATTTTGCAAAAGAGATTTAAACTTCCTTTTCTCCTAACACAAATGGCAAATACTTTTTCCCTAAGAGCACAATATTTTAGTGTCTAATGTCTTAATTTTCCCATCCTTTTAAATTCCTAATTGTTTGGAGTTTGGGTTAGTTGAATGGCGATTTGATTATCACTAAAAGTCTCTTTAAAGGTGAGTCCCTGTTATTAACATAAACTCTAGCAGATTTCATTTCATTATTATTATTTTAACTTTAGAACTTAAAATGATAGCCACCTTATTAAAATTGACAATGCAGCATCTTGGTGGTTTGGGGTTTAAAAAAAATCAGAGAAACCATAGATATGCTATGCAATCTGTTGTGGTAGCTTGATACACTGATAAC